CCCTCCTCACAGGATCTTGATCCTTGGCCTCCATGACAGCCAGCTGCCGACCGAAGACGCCCTTGCGGCTGACGGCACCCGAGGAGGTCATCGTGATCAAGGGCTCGATGATCCCCCCGCTCGCGAGGTGCTCCAGGCCAGGCCCTTTGCTAACCTCACGCCATTGCCACGCTTGAACTGCTCGCAGGAGAATGCGCTTGACCGACCACGGCCCCAGCTCGAAAACATGAATGTCGTAGCCCTCATGCGTGCGCCACAAAGTAGGGCTCAGCACCTGCCAGCCAACTCTCTCGAGCGTGAGCCTCACCGCGCTGAAGGGGCCCTTGACCTTGCTCCAGCTCGCCGCCTGGCAGCAAGTGAGGCCGTAGGCGATGATATGCTGCGGGATCCAGCACTCCCACGCCGCGCGCAGCATCATCAGCACTGGGAGCAGCGTGGCCCTGATCATCGGGTCCAGCATGGGCGTCAGCATAAGCGTCAGCGTGCGCGAGCGACCGTCCACGCTGGGGGCCACTGCCTTGAAAGTCGCCGTGCGCAGCGTGTCCAGCTCCATGGTGGCGCAGCCCGTGACCGCGACGCCGTAGGTCACGCTGGGCTCGATCCCAGCACGGGCCACCTTGCGCACGGCCTTCTTGCGCCCAGCCCCAGTCTTCAGGATGGCCACGCGGCGCTGGCGTAGCCCTGCTTGAACCAGCTTCTCCTGCCGCACCTTGCGCACGATACGCCTGCCGCAGGCGAAGTCGATGCCCAGGTTGCGCTCGCCCTTGACGGAGAGCACGCCGAGGGGACGGCGTAGCCGAGCGGCCAGGGCGTGCCGGCCTGCTGGGAGGTTGGAGAGCGCCCTCGACTTCTTGACCGCCACGTTGAGGTCGACGTCCAGCAGCAGCATCTTGAGCTCGAACGCTGCTTCTGCCACCTCCTTAGTCACACGCATGAGCCCGCCAACTCGGTGCAGCATGAGGTCGTCCACGACGACGGCCAGAGAAACTGTCGGGTGCTGTATGACCAGGCGATCCAGCGGCCCGATCAGAATAAGCTTCAGCAGCGCCGTCGCGAAGCCATCGCCTGGGAGGATCGACTGCCTGGCCTCGATCACGCTCGAGGCCGCGCTGCCCATGCAGAGGACCCGAGGCGCGCAGTAGAGCTCCAGCGTCAGCTTGAGCTGCCAGAGGGGAAACCCCGTGGCGACGGCGGCGTCCAGCAGCCAGTGGTGGCGCACCTGCTCGAACGCCTTGAGCAGGTCGAGCAGCACCGCCACGGCCACCCACGACTCGGCGTCCCCGCAGTCGGCACCGCGCTGCGTGGCCCACTCGCCGATCGCGGCCTGGTGCCACACCGCACGCTCGCAGCTACGGCCAGCAGCTGCCCACCAGTAGGGGCGGTCGTTGTCTTGCTCCCACTTGCGCGCGACGCCTCGGCGCAGCCGCGCCTGCACCCTCGCCAGCACCATGACGACGGCGATGGGCCTGACGCCGCCGAGCCGCTTCTGGATGAAGCCGATCTTGGTTGTCATGAGCGGCCAGGCAGCTTCGCGCTCGACGGCCACCAGGACGTCGATCAGCACCTCCAGCGCTTCGTCGCACAACTCGTCTAGCTGCCGCGGCCGAACGGAGCAGAAGGACATGCCCGTGCTGCCCTTGAACGAGCGCAGCACCTTGCGGAGCTCGGGGACCGTGGGCCTGGGCGGCCTCTCGCCGAGGTCGGCTGGCCACTGCAGCCGCACTTGCTCGCAGGTAGTCCTCCACCAGCGGCTCCACTCGACCTCCAGCGCCGTAACCTGCTGCCCCAGGTCCATGGGCTCGAAAAGCTGCTGGTGGTCGTCGGCGTCCTGGTCGTCCTCGGCGTCGCCGTACGGGCTGGAGTCGAACCCGACGGGCAGGCGGGACACCGCATGTAGACCACCTCCACCGCCTTCGGCCTGCTTCTCGACCCAGTGCTGGAACTGGACGGTGCGCTGGGCCATGTCCTTCTCAGCCATGTCGAGCGCCACGGCTTGCGCCCCAGCGTGCAGCTGCAGCAGCTCAGCGGGGGTCAGCGCCGCCAAGCGCAAGTTGCTAAGCAGCGACCACCATGCTACAGCTTGGGGCAACACCTGAGGGCAGGACAGAACCTCGCCAGCATCAGGTGCCGCCTTCACTGTGGCTGGGGCTCTGTCTAGCAGCCTACGCGCACCTCGAAGAGCGTCGAGACGCGCGTTGGGCTGCTCCACGTCGGCGATGTCCCGCAGCAGGCTGGCAGCACGGTGCATCCATGTCGCCTCAGCCGAGACCCGCGGCCAGCGCGCGCCACTCACGGGCAGCCGCCGAAGCCAACGTGGCTCCACGGGGCGAGCTCGCCCCTTGTGCTTGACCCTGTCCTCCTCGACCTGGTAGATGTCGATCCACTCGTCCTCGGCTGCGTCGAGGAACCTCTGCCATGCGGCGGTGAGGTTACCCTTGACGTCGGTGCTACCCTTGACCTGATCCCGCACACACTCCTCCAAGTGGCACGATCTTCCCTCACTCGCGGGCCCCGCAACGGGCGGCGGTGAGGTCCCACGGGAAACGTCCAGGCACTCCGACTCCTGCGCGCCTGCCAGCACGCTCTGCAGCTCGTGGCCGATCTCGGCCCAGCGGTCGCCGTGGGCGACGCGAGCACATCCAGCAGGCCGCTGGACAGGGAAGGGCTTGGGCACTGGCACGACCCGAACCCACGGCCGTTGGCGACACGCCTCCAGTTCCAGGATGACTGGCTTGCGCGGGTAGACGGGCGACCCGCTGACCACGCTGATGCTGGTCACCTTGAGCCCACGCGAGACGATGAACATATCGATCGTCCGCTTCGACTGCGCGCAGGTGGGCTCCAGCGTGTCGACGACGACCGCATCGAAGAGCCGCAGCACGCCTGACTTGGCCAGCTCCTGCTTGGTACAGTTGAAGTCGCCCCCGACCACGTATGGGCGACCGTACTCGCGCAGCCTGCAGGCCAGGTCGCGCAGCATCTGGGCGTTGAACGCGTTGACGCCGACGCCTGACTGCAGGTAGATGTTGGCCATCACGATGCCGCCTCGCAGCAGCCCCGAGTGATGGAGTACTTGCACGCGCCCTTCTTGAAGCACAGAAGGCCGCGACCCCAGCATGGTGGCAAGGCCATGCTCGCTGCGCACACAAGTGAGCAGCCCCCCAGTTGCCAGCCCTCCAGCCAGCGATGGCACCGCGGCAGCACCACATGCTCGAAGCCCTCGACGGCGAAGCTCCCCTTCAGCGTCCGCCGTGCGCGCTTCTCCCAGCCGCGTCTCTTGGAACAAAATTGCGTCGCAGCTCGTCAGCTCCTCGACCAGGCACTTGTCGATGTTCGAATACGTATTCATATTCAACGTGACGAAACGCCAGGAGCTGCTGCGGCTAAAGCTTCCGCCGCTTGGCCTCCATCGCGGCGACGTGCTGTTGCTGCATGCGGGCCTGCAGCTCCTCGAGGAACTTCCGCTTCTCCGCGTCCGTGCCGATGAAGTCCTCCGCCGCGGCCTTGAAGGTGTCGCACGTGACGAAACCCAGGGGGTCGCCCTCCAGGTCCATGTCCTCGGACTCGCCCACGGGCTTCTCGGCGGCATCGTCGCCGGCACCAGCGGCGGCGGCAGCGCGGCCTGCAGGTGCAGCTCCTCCTCCACATCCTCCAGCAGCGACTGGTTCAGGTGGCGCGGCAAGCGCGGACACACCTGCCAGCAGCGCTTGGAGAGGTCCCAGCAAGGACTCTGGAAGTTGGACGCCCTGGCTCTCCGAAGAGGTTCCCACGAGCGTCCTGAGCTTCTCCACGTTGCCGAGGATGCCGCTGAGATCTGCTCCTCCAGCAGCTGGCTTGGGCTCGGCGCCGTAGGCGAGCGCGGCCTTCGCCTTGGAGACGGCCTCGTCCAGCTCGAGCTGCAGCTGCGTGACCTTCTCCTTCTGCTGGAACGCTGCCTGCAGCGCCTCCGTGACCATCTTCTGCTTCTTGTTGTAGTCCGCCTTGGCCTGCTGGAGCCGCTTGCAGGCCTCGTCGGCTGCGACCTGCGCAGACTTGACGGACTTGACGTCGGACAGCACGCCCAGCTGTTGCTGCAGCAAGAAGCGCGACTGGCGCAGGCTGTGCTTGTCGCTGGCGGCCAGCGTGACGGACAGCAGCTCGAAGTCGTCGTCACTGAGGGCCATGAAGCGGTCGCGGGCCTCGGGCGAGAGCTTGGGCGGTTGCGCCCCCGAGCCCCCGCCACCACCACGCTTCGGGCTGGCCATCGTATGCCAAGGGCGGGAGTCTGCACCTCCGTCCGCCCACGCCCCACGCGCTGGAGGAGGGCCAGAACGAGGAGCAGGTACACGATTGGTCGGCCTGCAGCCCGTGCACCCCGCTTGCCGACACTTCGCGCGCCAGCCCAGGTTCTTGTAGTGGCAGCGGTCGCAGCGCCAACTCGTCCCCTGAACTGCGTCACGCGCTGCACCAGCGCCAGCGCCGCCGCCGCCACGAGGCTGAGGAGCCATGCCGCTGCGGCTCGGCACTGGATTGCCGAGCTCCTCACCTGGGGCGGACCAGGCCGAAAAGCTGAAAGACTTGCTGCGGCAGCAGCTTCCGATTGGCCTGGAGGCTGAACAGCCTCCCAGGAGGTCATCTTGAGCCAAAATGGCTACGGAGGAAGGAGAAGGAGAAGGAGGAGGAGGAGGAGGAGGAGGAGGAGGAGGAGCACTGCGCAGCGCATGCCCGTGGGAGTGCCCAGGGAGTTGACCTGGCCCGGCAGGGACCTCGGGACACAGCCCCCGACGCCGCCGAGGCCACCAGGACGGAGGGCGGAGTCCTCCACTGTCGGGCAGATGTTCTACGGAACACTAATTACCACAGGTAGGAGAGGAGGGAGGAGGAGCAGGAGGAGGAGGAGCAAGAGGAGGAGGAGGAGGAGGAGGAGGAGGAGGAGGAGGAGGAGGAGCAAGAGGATGAGGGAGGAGGAGAGGAGGACCTCCCCATCCTCCCTTCTCCCCCGTCAGTTGGTCGTGGTGGTGGAGAACTGGCCCCTCACTCCAACTCCCTCAACGCAGCGGTGCCCAGCAGCAGGCCAACAGGGGTGCCGCTCAGGAGGGAGGGGTGGGCAGCAACTGGTGGGAGCCAGTGGGCCTGGGTGGGCTGCGCCAGTGGCGCACGATGCGAGGGGAGGAGGAGCCCCCGTGCAAGGGGCACCGGCAAGCGGCATGCGTGAGAAAGGACGGCACGTGGCAGTCTTGACTCAGCGGAACTTTCCGTCGCCGAGCGTCGGAGAGAGAGGCTCGGCGGGGAAGAGTGAGGCGCTGGACCAGCGATCCAGAGACGGCGCGCGTAGTATCTGGGGCAAACCCCAGGAAGTGCAGCAGGGCTTGCCACCAGACAGACAGGCAGGTACATGTTCCTGGCGTCGCAGCCCAGGAGGGGGGGGATGGTGCAGGCCAACGTCGAGACGCTCTGACAATCGTACTGTAGGCGATTGAGAGGGGCGCTGCCTGCATTAAACTCGTGGGGGTGTAGGAGGAGAACGTATACGAGCATGGGTGGAAAGCTGGGGTGATCAACGAGCTTACCAAAGCATTCACGCAGTTCAGCGCAGGCCTCCTCAGCAGAGAACCCGGAAGGTGGCCGCATCCGAGGGGACCCCAGGAAAGAATGCAGGTGCGCCTCGGCGAGCGCCTCCGCCTGTGGCCCTGCGCCTTGCGGCCTGAGCGGGGAGGTGCTGGAGCGGAACCGTGGCACACACACACAAACTCACACCCAACCACACAACCACACAACCACACAACCACAAAACCACACAACCACACAACCGCACAACCACACAACCACAAAACCACACAACCACACAACACAAAACACAAAACACACAACACACAACACACACAAACCGCAAAACAACGTGCACGCGCGCGCACGCAAACGCACACACACACACCCACACACGCGCGCACACACTCACACACACACATCCAAAGAGCACGCAACACGAGCCACGCAACAACTCGAGCAGAAACCGCGGGGCGGCCACGGGACAACCCGCGAGACAACAGCGGAACACAACCACGGGACAGCAACGGCACGACCCACGAGACCATCCACCTCCTCCTCCTCCTCCTCCTCCTCCTCCTCCTCCTCCTCCTCCTCCTCGGGTCGCCTACGGCCCCGGGGCTAAACTGTGCACCCCCCCCCCCCCGCGCGAGGGCAAGGGCAAGGGCAAGGGCGGCCCGCCCAGCGCGCCGAAGGCGGGCGCGCGCGCGCGCAAAGAGCCGCGCGCCAGCGGGACAACAACTGGACAACCACAGGACAACCACATAACGCCTCACGAGGGAATCACGCAACAATCCACGCAACAGCTATGGCACAACCCACGGGACTCGGACTCGGACTCGGCCTGCGTCTTGCCCCGCGGAGCTGCTGCAGGGTGGGGCCGAAGCACCCGGGAAATATAGGCGTGTGAAACTGAGGTAACAACAGGCTGCTACAGAACGAGGGCGGCGGCGGCGAGCATCAACTGGTCAGAGTGTCATCTCCAGTGCAGATGGCTGGAGCAGATGAATTTTTGGCAACGACAACGGAACAACCCAAAAGACAACGGGGCAACCCACTGGATAAGCACGGGACAACCCAGCGGGCCCCAGCGAGACGCACAGAGGGAGACATGTTGTACGACTTGGCATTCGCTGCGGCCGAACCATCATCGTCCTCGCGCAGCTTTTCATCGCACACACGCGCGGCACGAATCGACACGACTATTCTAGTTGGTGTCCCTTCGCTGTCGCGTTCCAACCTCCGACGAAGCCAAAATAAACGTGCGTCCCTCGGAATTGGGTGTAGGCATACCTATCTCCATGAGCAGCCTTCACGTGACTTCCCAGTGGGAACATGACCTACGAAGAGCCCACATGCTTGCGTTGACACTCTGGCACAACGGCAGCATACATGTTGGAGGTTCGTTTTCACGACTGCACTGACACTGGTGCTCGACAGGATATGCGTAGTCTGCAACATGTCAGCTGTGGCCAACCCAGCGCTGGGTGGTGAGCTCACAGGAATGACTCCCTGGGCGGCCGCTGTCCAAAATATTCGGTGCAGAATCTTCTCCATCAGCGGCACCCCGCTCCCCCCCCTTCCCCACTCACCACCGTCATCCTGTCACTCCCCATTGCAAGGACAGAGGCCTCCCAGATGGGGTCGGAGTAGATGGGGTCGGAGAATCGCGCCGTATCGACAATGCATTGGCGATGCATCGGCGACGTCGGCGATGCATCGGCGACGCAGGCATGGAGAAACGCTGGCTCCGCATCGCGCCGCATCGCCGATGCATCGGCGATGCGGAACGATCCTCCGACCCCATCTACTCCGACCCCATCTGGGAGGCCCAACTACTTTCACTCCCCATTGAAACAAGATGTACGGCGGCGCCTTCGACAGAAAGACCCCACTGTGCTCTCCGAAGGGGTTTGCCTGCAAAGGCCAGCGCGCAGGGCGCGGGCAAGATGCGGCCGCTGGCGTCCGTGGGGCCTGCCCTTCCACGAATCGCGATCCCTTTGCTGCGCTCTCTGGGTACTGGCAGCACGCCAGCCTTGTGTTGCATCTTCAAGGGCCGCGTCGAATCCGTGTCGAACCCATGTCGCACTCGTCGAATCTGCGTCGGGTCCACGTCGAATCCACGCCACATCCGCGTTGAGTCCGCATCGAACACGCGTCGGGCACGAGAAAAGACTTCAGTTTTGGGGACAGACGAGGTCCCCCGAAGATGCGACGTAAGCCAGCCTCTGTGGACATACCCAGCAGGCGTGGTGGAGCGGAGCGGGCAGGGGACAGCGCACGCATAATTAGCAACCAGCAACAATCGTGTGGCCCTCCAGGTGGGCCACCGAGCACCTTCCGCAAGCCTCTCTTCAAGAGCAAAACTCTGGCCCATGTGGCAAAAGCAAACATCGCGATCTGAGCTCACTGGACGGTCTTTAAGGTCCCGGGAGGTCACGCCGCTGCGAGCGTCGTGTTTTCGATTCTGCGCCTCGCTCGGGCATGGACCTTCTGCCTCGTTTTCCTCCTCAGACCCGCGACGTCATGATTTTTTCGCAATGTCGACCCCCAGAGGTGTGGACCAACAGGTGTTTCATCCTGCGTCGTTTTTCGACGGCCCCGGGGCCCGGTGAGGGCCCCCGGAGGCCGAAAATAGTGAAAAACCTCTCGTGGCGATTTTTTCGCAACGCGAGGGGGTCGGGGTCCTCCACCTCCTCCTTTCACGCCAGCCCGGCTCAAGGATCTAGCCTGTAGCATTCTAACCTCCTCCTCCTCCTCCTTCCCTCCCTCCCTCCCTACCTCCCTTCCTGCCACGCCCGTCTCAAGTAGTCGTGGGCCATCCCTGGCGCCTACGCCCGACCCCCCCGGAATTACTCAGAGCGAGGCAAGCACCACCAGACAGAGGCTCCCTCTCGAAGTCACACACACACACACACTGACTCCTGCCGTTCCAGTAGTAGATCGACTACAGAATCGATGTACCCCAAAATTGATGTTCACGTCGAATCTTCAACAACAATATACATAATGTTCTTAGATCTACGAACGTTCTACGCATATTCCGTGGACTTGGGCGAGAAAACTCAATTCTGGGGCACATCGATTCCATAGTCGATCCCCTACTCGAGCCTCTCCAGCTTCCCAAATCCTCCCGCCGCCATCTGGGAACCTTCCTCCCCCCCCGCCCGTGCCGCTGGAATCTGCTCCTGGGGCTATCGGCCCTGGCCGTGGAAAGCTGCTCGTCTCGCACGAGCGCGACGACCGACGCCCGCGGTCCATTCGATAGCCCACAGCTGGGCGGCCGCCCCCCCCTAAGCAAAGGACAGAACAGTTGCCGAAACAAGCGCCTTCGGAGTTCCACGCGGAGCTGGGGGATCGATGCTAGACTTGGGTCGGGCATATCCTCCCACAGGCGGAATTTGGAAGACAAGTGCAAAAGTAGTCTACCAATAACCCAACATAGTCTAACAGGCACGACAAATCGTCCCCGGACCATTTTTGACTATTCTCGAATATTCCTCCTGTAGAGGAACATGCCCGACTGAAAGTTCGACACCCTCCCGACAGTTCTTCCCCTACTTGTGGGCAGAAAAACCCTCCTAAGAAGCACCCCGGCGCGCGAAGCCTTGTGAAAACGCACCGAGAGAAGGGATCGAATAGGGCAGGGCTGTTCAAAAAACCCAACGCTGTTTAATAAACGCCGATTGTGCGGGCCGGAGTGTTTTTTCACGGTTGGGAGGGGACGGTCCAGCATCGCCCAAAGAAGTTCACGCCGATTCCCCAGACAATGTTTGTACATAGGGGTTTTTGTTGTTCGGGGCATCGACATTCGGCCGAAGGGTAAGGGACGGGGGGGATCTGGGTCGGGGCCGGTGCTCTCCTCCTCCTCGTCCTTGTCCTGCTCCTCCTTCTCCTCCTCCTCGTCCTCGTCCTCGTCCTCGTCCTCGTCCTCGTCCTCGTCCTCGTCCTCGTCCTCCTCCTCGTCCTCCTCCTCGTCCTCCTCGTCCTCCTCCTCCTCCTCCTCCTCCTCCTCCTCCTCCTCCTCCTCCTCTTCCCTCGAGCAAGCAGACTGCAGACTGGGACTGCGGGGGTTTCCCTCGCCAGTCGCCAAGAGCAGCCGCCAAGAGCAGCCAGGATCTGCTCTCCGTAGGGGGAGGAGGGGGGGGGCTCTGGGACCTACGCCCATGGGCGAAGGAATGCATCAAAAAGACGACTGAGGGGGTCTTGCTTACCCTGAGTTTTCCGAATAACCGTTGGGGGGGCGTCACCCCCGCCGACAGCCCCACATCGACGCCCGTCGCGGGCAGCCACCGCGCGCCGAAGGCGCTCCGACCCCCGTCGCGGCGCGACGACGAGGCGAGGTTGACCCCCGTCGGGGAGGTACGCCCCCACGCTTGTTCAGAAATGCAGAGGATGGTCAGCATCTCGGAATAAACCGTCTGCGCGGCTGAGTTGGTGCGATGCCCGCGACGATTCTTACCACGAAGACGGCGGCGTGCGCTGCAAGTCACGTGTTCCGGAAGCGCCATGTTCCGGAGAAGCGTTCCCGGAGGGAGAAGCGAACATTGTAATTTACGAGGGTTGATGGCTTCGGACACGCCACTACAGCGTAATTAACGAAGGTGTATGGCCTCGGGGTCGCAGGTTTTGCATAAGTGTCACAGGTTTCTGGCCTCGGAGACGCGAACATTGTGTAATTTAGTGGGTTTGTGGTTTCGGATGCGCGAATATGGCATAATCTGCGAGGGTGTATGACTTCGGGGACGCGAATATCGGTACAACCTGAAGTGCATCGCCTTGTCGTTTTGCAGGCGGTTTCAATGGAGGTGCATGAGCCGAGCGTCTGGAGGGATGCGTTGGCAGCATAGTGCACGGCTGGCAAAAAAAAAAAAAAAACGGATCGCGCGCACGGGACCCCCTTCCTGGCGCGCGGAGCGCGCCAGGGGCGCCGCCGGGGAGCTCCAGCGCCGATCCGAAAAATCCGCGTGGGCCTCCGATTTGTTCTGTGCATGTCGTTCTTCGTTCCCCTTGACAGGGCACCAGCGAAAAGTCGGGCGCGTCCTCCCTGTACAGGAGGAACGTGCAAGAAAAACCAAGCAACAGTCTGAGGCCAGTTATGTATTATTTGGGACTATCTTTGAACATGTCTGCTCCCCCCAAATCCGCCTGTGGGGGGACACGCCCTTTGTGGGCCCCGGAAACAGCAGGGCCGTCTTTTCACTGTTTCCTGAAAAATGTCCCTTGGAAATGGAAGCGGCAAAAATCGGCGACTGGAAACGGCAAAAAAACGGTTCCAGGATTGGACCCGGGGCTGGAACCGGTCAAAAAACGGCGGCGGGACCGGAACAAAAACACCGCCGGAACGGGCAAAAAGGCAAAACGGAACCCGTAAAAAAACAGGCCTCGCCGCCAGCGCCAGCGGTAATACACAGAGCACTGGCCGGACTGCGACCGACGGCGGCCCGCGGGGCAGAGCGCAGAGGGCGCGCCAGCCGTGTGAGGACGGCCAACGGCAACCCGCATGGCATTCTGTGGGTGAAGCAGGCATCGCCAAGGCGAGAAAATGTGTATAACATATACAAACTTATATATGTATACACATATATAGACACAAACATATAGATATACACATAAAATACATATACCATAAGACAAATACATATATATATATATATATATGCACACACACATCTGTTTGTGTACTAGGCTGCATTGGCGCTGCTTGCCGTGCACCTCGGTCCTCTGAGTTTCGCACGCAAGCGGGGCGCGTGCGTGCGTACATGCACGAATTCATGTATACACGCGCACGCGCATGCACGCTCTGTACACATATTTTTGTGTATACCACACACATACTGTTGTATATGTGTATACATGACCATGGTATGTATATGTCTATGTCAATCACAGGTGTTTGTTGGTGCACGCACCTATACGTAATTATGGGTGCGCATACGCATGCGTATCTCAGGCGGTAGTGGCCTGACCGCCTGCTCAGGGCATCTCGCAACTCAGAGGTGCGAGGGTCTCAGGCGAAAGTAGCCAGACTACTACGGGGCAGTGCACCTCCGATGTCAGCGTTGCGAGGATGTTTCAAGCGAAAGTGAACTGATCACCTCAGTTGAGGACATACCCGAACCCGGAATTGCGAGGATGTCTCTAACGAAAGTGGCCTGCACACTTCAGCTCAGGGCATCCCTGAAATCTAAAGTTGCGATGAGGTCTCAAGTGAAAGTGGCGGACTACTCTGCGGCAGGGCATCTCGGAATCCAGAGTTGCGGGGATGTTTCTAGCGAAAGTGGCGGGAACACCTCAGCTCAGGGAACCCCGGAACCCAGAGTTGCGAGAGGGTCTCAAGCGGAAGTGGCCGGACAACCTTGGGGCAGAGCTTCTCTGGGGTCAGAGTGGCGAGGATGTCTCAGCCGACAGTGGGAAGGAGGAAGGCGAAGGGAAAGAGTAATGGGAGGAGTCCCGCGGACCCGAGGACAGGCAGGCACGAACGCTCAGGATCGGAAGTCATGTACTGACGCGGATGCAAGACGCTGGGAGCTGGCCTCCGAGAGCGTTGAACGACAGGAGGGCCTGAGAGGGGCTCAACGACGGGCGCCGCCAGAACCTTTGGGAAAAGTCTGGAGGCCTTGTGAACGTGTCGGAGTGCTACGCGTCTGAGTGCTACGCGGCAAGGGGTATCCGAGGTTGACGTTGCGAGGATGTCTCAGGCGAAACTGGCCCGAGCAATGTGGGACAGGACATCTCCGAAGTCAGCGGTACGAGGGAGTCTCAAGCGAAGAGTGGTCTGAACACCTCAGGCCTGATGGTAGAAGAACCCCCTTGCAAGAGCGTCCGCGCAGCCCCCGGGGAGCTTCCCAGCAGGTCGAGCAGACCGGGAAGGGGCTTCCCGGCAGCCTGGGGAGTCCGAAATGCGTTCGGGGGGAATGTGTGTGCACATGTGAATTTAGTTTGCGTATGTATGCATGTACATGTGAATGTAT